GTCGCGCGCGCGCGCGCGCGTGTGTGTGTGTGTGTGTGTGTGTGTGTGTGTGTGTGTGTGTGTGTGTGTGTGTGTGTGTGTGTGTGTGTAAACAACACTACTATATATATATATATATATATATATCATACAGACATACATACATACATAATATATATTTGTACATAATTAACGATAATTTACAATAATATTTTATTAAATGAATTATAAATTTAATTAGCAGATAATTATTATAAATTTACATCTTCTCTGACTACATTAAATTTTCCTCCAATCTGATTTTTACAGCTATATTATAAAATATATAAGAAGCTCTCACATATATTTAATATTTTATTCATTATTCAGTTTTAATATTCAAAATATTAAAACTGTTACTTATTTAAACCTTTTATTTATTTACTTCAAAACTGTGTCCATTAAGATATTTTTAATTAAAAAATATTTTTTTCAATTACTAATTCACAATAGTAATAAAAAATGAATACTATTTCAAGTATATTATTCACATTGAAATATGCATACAAGGTCTTATTGACGGTCTTACGAACTCTAACGAAAGTGTCGAACTTGAGTGAACGACTTGGCACGCTTCAGGCAAATTTTTGCATTGTGTCGATGGCCAATCGTGTATAACTAAATATATGTACTAAGATATATGCGACATTGCAAACTTCAAAGTCATCATTTTATATAATATTACGTTGTATAATATTGAATAGTAATTTTTTGCAATTCTACAAAAGTTAACAATACTCATACATACAAAATGGCATAACTCTTCTCCAGTGCATAATTAATTTTCTGATAAAACTTTACAAGAGATATTTTAAATTAGACATTAGATAAAATTATCATATTTCAAAATATATAAAAATTAAACATGAAGAAGAATGTTTTGTATTATATTTTAACGTCATATTAAAAATTTATATAATTATTCTATTTAATGTAATTTTTTGTTAAATTACGTAAATCTGATTAAATTATGTTATTTCTGACAACGCTACAGGATATATTCTTTAATTTCATTTAAAATCAAATTTTTGTTTTAAATAATAATTGTCATAGTAATAACTAATAAATGTATAATAATTAAACATTTTTTATATTTTAAATCCAAATTGTATTTTTTTTATGAACAATGAGAATATTTTGTCTTCTTTATCATAAGTTATTTTACTTTATGTATCGAAGATGTTTCCGTAACTATCCATTAATAAGAAGATTAATCCTTTATTAACGAGACTACGTTTATCAAACTACCCGGCGTCTTCTAATACATTATGGTTTACGGCACACATCAGACGTGTGTATCGATATGATACCGTAATATCGGAATATAAGCAAGCAATGCGTAAATTCGCCTACCTGCGATAAAATATGATATCAAAAGCTTAGACGAGTAAATAAGTTCGAATGAGATTGTAAAAGAAAAACAACGCGCCACGCTGTAAAAAATGTGAAGAGGCATGGAATTCTCACTATAACGCAAGCGTGCTCACAGCGAAATGCATTCAAAGAAGACAGAAGAAATCCCGAATGCAAGTTTATTGGCTAGCGTTTTACTCGGTTGAATTACACACGGCGCGGCGGAGTTTATATGATCCTGGACTTTTCTACTCTTCACTTCGGTATCTTTCCAACAACGTTTCAAACGGTTGCGCCAACTCTCATCTGTAAATCCAAAAGTCGGTACACCATAACCACCGTGCCGGGGCGAATCTGCATACCTCGGCGAAACGAGAAGACGTTTCGGCGATTGTATCCGAGTCTGAGTTCAACAAATATCGACAAGGTAGCCGTCACGCAAATAAACTAACGGAATTAAGCTAATTTGTTTGCGTCGCGCGCGAATATGGATAAGATATGCCATGAGGAGAATTGCGCGCTCGAATTTCATTTGTATTTACCCTATAAATTAAAGGCGAAGCACACTTTTAGCAAGGGGATCGAGTGTGAGCAACATGTATATGTGTGTGCGTGTGCGTGTGTATGTAAATTCTTGGTTATGTAATATTATAAAAGAAAAAAAAAATTAGAGAAAGAAGTTAGGGAACAGTTGAATCGTGCCAGCATTTAATTTGACTGAGTCCCAAAGTTACTCGGCAACTAGGCCAATATTTTATAGCAGTGGCAATTAGATAATTTTGCGGTCAGGCAAAAATATGATTGTTGGCGTGTGAAAGGACAAACTTGGGCGCGGGTTAATGTCGAAAGTTTGTATCGCCACCGACGTCGAACATAGTCGAACCAGGACTTGCGAGGGTACGGTGACGTACACATATTATGATGATATGATATATCATAATAAATGCGGCATTGAATTTGAATTAATTATATATTTTTATATTTTTATTTTATAAAGTTTTTTTTTTATAAAGTTTTCTAAAGAATTGTAATAAATTTTATCTCGTCAAAGAATTTATTTAAAATTTATTTCTGTTAAGAGTAACATTTATTGCTAAAATATTTATTTTATAAGTACACTCATTGCACCATGATATATCCTATCCTATAGAGAAAAGTGTGGAAAATTATAAAATGAAATGTATAGAGAGACATTGAATTTTCATAAACCAATGCAAAATTCTCGTATTTCGTAAAAATGTTTGCATCATATTCT